TTTATCTATTTAGACGATATCATTATTACTAGTGATAATCTCGACCAACATGTACAGGATTTAAGACAGGTGTTTTCTTTATTAAATGAGGCCGGTCTAAAAGTTAATGTCGAAAAGTGCAAATTTGCAGCCCCTGAATTAAAATATTTAGGTTACAAAATATCTCAAAAAGGATCGAGACAGACGAATCAAAAATAATCGCTGTACAAAAGTATCCGACTCCAAACACGGCAAAGAAGCTCTCTTCTTTTTTTCTAGGACTTTGTTCATATTATAGGTCCTTTATAAAAGATTTTGCAGGCTATTGCTGAGCCATTGTTAAAATTAAAAAGGAAAAAGGCAAGATTCTCGTGGACGGCCGAAGCCAATAGTGCTTTCGAAAAATTAAAACAAGCATTAACGCAAGCCCCTGTGTTGAAATTTCCTGAAAAGGATGAGAATTTAGAAATTTCAGCGGATGCTTCGGATTATGCGGTAGGAGCGGTACTTTCGCAAAATCAGCAGCCCGTGGCATTTTTTAGCCGAACTTTAAATCAAACACAAAGAAACTATTCCGCGACCGAGAGAGAGGCACTTGCAGTTCTGTTAGCAGTGCAAAAGTTCCGAGTCTATTTTGGAAAGGCGCCGATAACAGTGTACTCTGATCATGCGGCGGTAACTAGATTGTACTCAGGGAAAAATTTATCCCCAAGGTTAATAAGATGGGCACTCAAGCTGCAAGAATATAATCTGGTAATCAAGCATACCCCCGGAAAGGAAAATATCGTAGCAGATGCCCTATCAGAATTAAAATAGACGAACAAGGTAATACCGTAAAGGTGGCAATGCTCACAGCATGTACAATAAATTCCCGAGAAACTGTAATAACCGAACTGGGTAAGGATCCTGAGTTTGGAAGCATTTATGAGTATTTAAGGATCCTGAAAATTTTAGCCACCAAGATATTGTGGCGATAAGAAATAGGGCGGCCCATTACGAACTAATAGATGGTCTATTATTTATATACAAAAACTACGAATTCCAACAACGAATTTCGACCTGTTATCCCAGCTAGTCTTAGATTAAATATCCTGCAGGAGCTCCATGACAGCCCTTTAGCTTCTCATGCTGGTATTCGAAAAACTATCCAACGCGTACGCGAGGCAGTCTACTTTTCCTGAACTGCAAAAGTTAACAAGGGCGTATGTCCAGTCCTGCCCAACATGTCAAGCAGTTAATTATATTAATTTCCGCCCGGCCGGGTTTCTAAATAGTATTAAATCCGAATTTCCAAATGAAATAATTGGCATCGATTTATTGGGCCCTTTCCCAAAAAGTCAGTTAAATAAAAGTCGCTATCTCCCTTGTTATGGTTGATCATTTTTAGTAAGTGGACCGAAATTGTTCCCTTAAAACGAGCCTCCGCGAAATTAGTTACTGATTCTATTTTAAATAAATATATTTTAAAATACGGGGCGCCCCTAAAAGTTATATCGGATAATGGTCCTCAATTTGTAAGTAATATATTTGAAGACATGTGCCAAAAACTGGGCATACGTCATTTAAAAATGGTCCCGTATCGGCCGCAATCAAATATAGCGGAACGGGTCAATAGAAATATAGTGAAAATTATCCGTAGTTATGTTAAAAATTTTCATAAAAGCTGGGATAACTATGTCAATGAATTTGCTTTCGCCCTTAGGACCGCAAAACATGATACAACGGGCAAAACTCCTGCTGAGTTTTTTTCTAGGCAGAAAGATTATAACGCCGTTAGATAAATTATTTTATGTGCAACAAAGAGCCCCAGAATTTAAAATGGGTGATATAGAAAAACTAATTAAAGAAGCAAAAAAGAATACGGAAGTAGCACAAAGAAAACAGAAGCTTTATTATGATTGAAACGACGGGGAGTAACTTATAAAGTAGGGGATGAAGTTTTAAAAATTAAGCATTCACTTTCTTCAGCACCAGAAGATAAAACTGCCAAATTTTTTCCACGATTTGAAGGACCATATGTCATAGAAAAAATAACTCACGCTGTAGTAGTGTTAAAAGCCAGAAATGGTGAAACCTGCTCCGCAAACATTGATCAAATCAAACCCTACTATGATCGTAATAAAATGCAAATATTTTCAGATCTTTTGCAGGATCCGGCACGGCAGACACCGCAGGGCAAGCTCCAGAGGTGGAAAAACGACAAGTACAAGGGCAAGCCATTAAGAGGCAGGAGCAAGTGAAAAGAAAGTTTCCCCGCGGAAAAATTGAAGGTAACAAGAAAAAGAAGCCGTTCCACCGTCCAGAAAAGAGAGTTCACGAACACCCCCAGAATGAAGAAGGGAGAAGGACGACGTATGTGAAAGAGAGCCAGGAGAAATGACGGCAACTATAACCCGGCTCTAAAACGGAAGATCTACTCATCCGACAGGACTCTCCGCAGCAAATGTCGCCGAACTGCGGAAGGGCCATCAGCGGCGGAGGAAAAGTTACAAGGAAAATTTGAACGGCGAGCAACGAGGTCCAAGCAGGAACACGAAAGAAATTTCCCGGTTCCGCCAAGACCAGCTGCCATCAAACGGCCAAGACCACAGGCAGAGGCGAAAAAGAAGGTATTCAAGGGTGACCGAACTGGTGAAAAAAGGAAGCTTCCAGAGGAAGGAACTGAAGGGCGAGCCCTCACGAGAAGGAGGATAAATCAAACTAGACTATCTGGCTACCTTCCAAAGGACTGGGCTCAGAAAAGGAATGTCCGAATATCACAAAGATAAGTAAAATTTTATGTTACTTTGCAAACTTAAGTTAATCTTTCATTCTTACTGCAAGTGGCAGATTTCAAGAAGTTTTACCTCATGCGAGGTCTACCTTTATCGCCAAAAGGGCGAGAAATGAGTTGTTACCGATTTTGGTATTATGTTTTTCAATTACTCGCGCGTAAAACTAAAGTTGATGTATAATAGCGAATTGTGTAAAGACTTAAATATTGTAAAAAGTTATTGTATAAATTTTATTTAAAACATTCTGGCAAGAAAGAAGTTTTAGTCTGAAAGACTTTTTGAAATGTAGTATTTCAATGTAGAAAGAATTGGCACTTGCTTTGAAAAGAATAGAAGTTAACAATGTACTACTAATGTATGTTTTCAAATGCGTAAAATTAACGGCATGTTAATATGTTCTTATATACAATGTGAACTGTTATTTTAAATGTTAAGAAATACCGTGATATGGTAAAAGTGAAAGTAAAAATTTTTTTTATTCGTGTGACTGTAAAAAGACAAATCATGGTGAATATGTGTTAAAGGTTGAATGAATGTAGTTAGGCTCTCTGACGCTACACTTTAGAGTTAGCCACTTTCAGAATAGTACCTCAGGGTTTAGAGTTGAAATTAGGGTGTGTTAAGAGGTCTTGTTATGTTGAATTTTAACACGTTAGTGTTTTGATTGTAGGAGGAAGTGTTGAACACGTATACATAAACACATTCGTGTTTGGTGTTCTTTTACAACACATGTCAGAGAGCACGGGGAGAGATAATTAAAATAGTCATGAATGAAATAAGAATGTTAAGAGAAATATAATTATATATGTTACTTGCCATTTCATTGTGTAACATTTCATTAAACTAGTTTTCCTTCCAGATCTCTGGAAGGAACCAGATTTGAATAAAAGCTCCTGTTTAGATGCAGTACAGATGAAAAATTTGTGTGTCCTGGGAGCTCCTATTGTAAAAACAATTTTTGTTTTTAAATTTCTAGTTTCTAGTGAGAAATGTTTGTAAAAGATTGGCCTCGCGTTAGATTCTAGAGCTAAAAGTTTTCAACAAGGTCGTTTTAGACCTCAGTTTCAAACTAATTAACTCTGGCGGGAAGTATGTAAGGATCTTAAGTTTTACTAACGTTTATTTTATTTTAAATCTTTACTATCACTTCTTATTTTCTACTTCCGGCCAGAATTATAAGCGTTAAGGTTTTTATGCAAAGTTTGTCTGGCGAACGCCAAGTATTTAAGTTGTGGCTTTTTGCCAAGCGAGAGAGAGGAAGCAGTGAGTCGAAGCAGGCCGCTTACCTTAGAAGTTTTACGCAGTTGCTGGTTGCCTTCCAGGCCAGAGGTTTTAATCCTCTTGATAATTTTAAACGTATTGTAGTGTTCAACAGTTCTCTGTACTACATACGGCTTCCTGTTAATATAAGGCCAATCTTCCACGTTTATTATTCTAAAGTTAAATTAGAGTTTAGTTTTATTTTTATACTTTTACGTTAGACCCCAAGTAGGGGTCTTGTATTCCGAAGTACGGAAGTTATTGTAAAGAGAGAAAAATAAGGGTTTTGTATACCCTTCTTGTGTATCCTGTTTACTTCCCACAGTTTTGAACATAGCTTTAGTAAGCTCTCTGTTCTGAGTCAGGTCCTTGCATGTTCTCGAAGAAGGTTAGAAGGAACATTGAACCTGATAAACTGTCTTACCATCAAACAGCCTAATGATACCAACTCTTCTAAAAATAATTTTTAGCGTGATTGGTCTCCAGTATTATTAAGAAATTCTTACTCTTAAATTAATTCCAAAGCAAATTATTTACAGTTCAAAATAAAAATGACTTATGTTGGTGCGAATGTGTGTATACGTTATCATAAATTAGACTTTTTTTTACTTATACTGTTATAAATGTTTGGAAAAATCTAATGTTAAATCTGATATCATTTTTCATATCATTTTAAAATAGCCTTGAATATTAAGAAATAAAATAATCATCTAACATTACATTTTGTTATTCCGCCGTTATTATGTAAATTTGACACTCAGAGCACAGTGGTATCTCAATTCGCAGCTATTTTACATAATCCGATAAAACCACTGACGCATTTCAGACTTTTTCCCTGAATGAATTCCAACAAAAGAAAATATCGATAACGAGAAATGAAACTATTTTCACAAAACCGCAAGCTCTGACTGCCTGTAGTAGGAGGGAATTTTAGAACTGTTCGGTATCTCTATAGTAACAGCTCCTTACAAACCGCAAGAAACTTACCCGTCACCCTGAGTCGTTCTGCCGAAATCACGACTTCCTTATCGTCAGCATGAAATAGAGTTTCCCCTTTCCGATTCTTGATCGTGAATTTCTCCGCAAAAGATGTCATGGAAGTAGGACCTGGGGAAGAGAAGTAAATTTAGGTCAACTGGTGAAAAAATGAACTTGCAAACATTTGAATAAAAATGGAATAAAGCAAGATATTCGGAAGCATTTTCTCCTTTCCCTTGACAGAATTTTAAAATGATGCATTCCTAACCCTTGAGGCATGTATGAGGTTTTGATGTACAAAAAATTAAATATAAAACTTTTAGAAATTCTATTACTATTACACTTTATTATTCAAGTGTTATAATTTTCATAATTTGTCAGCTTTCAGTAAAAATGGGCGATAGTCTTATTTTCGTCTTAAATTTATGAACATTTCAGAAATAATTGTTAAGAATTTATTTTGAAAGTGAGATAGAAAATGTTTTCACTTTATAAACGAAAGAAAACTGTTGTGATTAAATATGATGTAAAAATATATTTTAGCGTATATACCGCCACTGAAGTATTTTAAAAACAAGAACAATTTCTGCTATTAGCAAATGTGAGAATAGGACTTCTTTTGTTTTAAGAAAATACGATGTCAACTAATCATTTTGATTCTGAAAACTTTAATATATGTCTCTATATTTAAGACTAAATATAATGTATGCCTATAAGAGTTACTACTTACACCATGGCTACGAACACCGAGTTAAAAATTATGGGCCATTTTACTGTCGAGCAAATTGTCGAACACTGTCGAGCAAATTGTCGAACACTGTCGAGCAAATTGTCGAAAACTGTCGAGCTTCCGTGTTATGAGTAACTTCAACTAAGTAATATACACCCTCTCTTTAAATATTACTTTGTTATGCTTTTCAATTAATTAGTTTTGAAATTTTTAAGTCGGTTTAACGTCAACATTTAATATCATTTGGTTTAAAGCTTTTTTAAAAATTTTATTAACTTGCAACAACAATTTTGCACAAAAAAATTAACTTTCATTTTCAAATGTTAAACATTAAGTATTAGGAGTATAAGTCTGATGAATCTGGAAAGACAGGAGAAATTATCACAGCAAATAACGAAATGCAGAAAATTAAGCAATTATACTCAAAAGTAGTAAAAATTTATCAACCGATTAAAATAATTATACATTAATGAATACTGATTTTTTATATATTTATATTCAAAGTAATAAGCTTTTTACAATAATTCCCGAATTCCGACTTCAAAACTGCATAGAAGGATTGACTGTGTGGAAAGCTGTGTAGCAAAAAAATTTTTATTCTTTGTTTCTTAAAAGTTCTTGCAGCAGCGTATTATACAAATTACAATAACTTTGTTATTTCAACTTGCAATGATCCTAATATTTTGTTTCAATATCTAAAGTATTTCTTTCAGGAAAATATTGCTGGATCACAGATCACTAAAAATCTATAATTTCTAAGCTAATAGTTTCTGATCACAATATAACTATGAGTTTCGGTTTTATTATTTCTTAAAAAGTATTCCTCGAGTCGTATAATAGACTACAGATTTTACGAAATTATAAGAGGAAAACAGTTAAGGTTGAAAAATAATTCTTGCAAAAAAATCGTGTGACAGGCATAAATTTTTTCTTCCAGATTTCCTGGTTTTAGTTCAAACATTTTCCGACAGATGGCGCAGCAACTTAAAAAGAATATACCATGGACTTATAAGACTTGCTGACACAACTCACGTGCCTCCAGCCTTCCTGATTCGACGTTATAATGCTTCTGATTTGCGATCTGATGATAGCAGAATTGCTTTGGCCGCTTTCTACCCATGATTATATTTCCGACCAGCAAACAGAATGCCACCCGCTCCCAGTTCTCGCCGATGTTTACTGTTTATGGTAGATAAAGTGTCTTCGCTTTCTAACTTATTTCTGATATTCCCTGGTACATTCAGTTCCTAATGATTAACGGTTCAATTAACACCGATGCCTGGCGTAAGTACGCCCTGTGGAGGTGTTCATCACAAGACGGTTAGTGTGAAGGAGTGACACCAGTTCTGCCAATGGCGATGTGTTGGTGCTTCCCACACTTAGTCCTGTCCTTTCCTGTCCTGGTACATTCAGTTAAGGAACTTTTACTTTCGTCATATCCTTCGGGGACTTTACAAGGAGCTGGTAAGAGCTATTTCATAGTAGCTGTATGCCAGCATAACAACTAGTTCCAAGGACGAGCAGTGAAGAACTGAACAGCAGTTTCCGTAAGGAATTGTTGAAAATGACGTATTCTTTGGAGAAAAGTATTTTCCTTATATTGGAATTCCATCTACAGCAACAAGAAAGAGCTTTCAGTACAAATTCCAGGTCGCTAATGGTCCGCAGCCGAATACAGTAAAAACATTGTACGAGAAATTCAAACGAACAGTTAATATTACGGATGAGAAAGTAGGAAATGTTGGACGAGAGTGATCGGCTAGTATTGCAGAAGTAAAGGGTGTATAGGTCGGTGAGAAAACTATTGCACTCCCCTAGAAAATCAATCTGAAAAACTGCAGCCGCATATCAGTTGGCGGCGGCACAAAAGTTAATACGTAAATGATTGGCCTTGTTCCCGTACAAAATTCAAACACAGAAACCGCTTCAGACGTTACCCATAAGAGGATAACGTCTGAAGTGATTTCGGAAAGGAACCATAAAAATCCATTGGAAAATGTTTTCTGAGAGGAACCATCTTGAATCCATAAGAGGAAAATGCTTGAAATGATTGATTTTGGCAATACCAATGTAAACACTACATCGTTTTCAGATGAAGCAAATTTTCATCTCGATGGATTCGTCAATAAGCAAAATTTGCGAAACTGAGAACCCTCACGCGTGTGTTTTACAATCAGCCTATTCTCAAAAGCTATTGTATAGGCGCTGTTTTCAGAAGAGTTATTAAGTAGACCAATTTCGTACTTGATACTGTGACTTCAGAACTGTTAAGTTCAAATTTTGCAGAATTTTGTGGCCTTTGAAAATGCTTCACTCGAATCACCCGCGACATCTTGGTTCATACGAGAAGGTATGAGGCCTCCCCGGACTGTTGCAGGTTTCAATTTCTTAGAGGAATACTTTGATAATCGTTTAAATGCTTTAAATTACCCATGCTTCACGGTAAAGGAAATAGAAAAGCCACCTTGTTCACTAGGCTTGAATCAGTGCAATTTCTTCCTTTGGAGTTACTTGAAGGTTGCCGTGTACCTGAAAAATTCCCGAACATTTGTAAAAATTGAAGAAATAATCAGTGACGAATATGCAGCCATACCATTAGCCGTTTTGCAGAAAATGTCTGCTATGTTCGTCCTCAGGTTACGATATATAATTGCGGCTGATGGTGGACATTTCGAAAATCTTCTAATTTTCATTCATTAAAAAATTTCGAAAATGTGATGTGATTTTCAATAATTTTTCTTTGATTTACGGCTTTAATATCTGCAGTGCCACGTGTTGGAAACTTTTTGAAATAAAACCAGAAATTCTGGAAGGAAAACGTTTTGGCCTGTCACATGATTTCGCTGCAAGAAAATGTTTTTAATCTTAACCGTTTTCCAGTTGTATTGTTTTTAAAACCGGCAATGTATTTAGGACACCTGATATTATAAATAGTGGTAAGAATGATTTAATTTACATTAAGGTTTTCGCTTTGATAAATTTAAACCTCGTTTTAATTTTCATCTGGTTACTTTCAGAATTTTTTTCTAATGTGAATAAAATAAGTCCTTATACATATAAGTGCATTTACATATAAGTGGAAGGAAAAAGGAAGTTAGTTACAAAATTAAGCAATAATGATGTCAAATGCAGCGTGGAAAAAACTTTGTCTGAAGCTTTTCACAAAGAACGAATAACACTCTAATAGAAGAATAGGGCACTCAAAGAAATAGGGTGCGGCTGCATTATTTATCTGCGTTTATGGGACGCAAACCTTTGAATAAGGCAGTTCTAGCCTGAGAAAAATGTTTCTGTTTTCAGGAGTTCCAACTAAAGAAAAATCACGATTATCAGTCTGATTTGTACCAACATCAGAAATTTGACTCGCAAACAGATTTATAGAAGCAGAATGCTACAATGCTTGAAGTTATTTGGTGAAGTACAACAGATTCAATCTGAAAGAAAGCAACTCACTAACTAGCAGACGTCAAGTCGTAGACGTACCCTGATCTACCTAGGAGAGACTAAGCACATAGGAGAAAGATTTAGAAATGAAAACCACGTAATGTCTGAAATAGGATGAATTACATATTTAGTGGAATGTGGGTGAAAGTAATTTTAAGTTCTGTATTCAAAAGCGCTAGCTAGAGAACTTCAAATGATGGTGAAAGACACTGTATGCTAATCTCGCATTTATTGCGGTCATCGAAGGTACGTAAGCAGCTTATCGATAGGTGAAAATCCTTTTCTGCCCTGGGGTTTTACATCTCCTATCGACTTGCGAAATGCTTTATGTATGCATGATAATTCCAGTTGTGTACCATAGCCATGTAATAATGCATACCATGTATTATTATTTTGCATTAGGCTTTGTTCTACTGTAAAACCAATAAAATCACACATCTCATTATGTCTAGGATATCGTATACTGATATTTGAACAGCTGTAAAAAAGATAATGTTGAATAGTATTGTAATAGTGCATTCCTATACATATAAAAAGACAACCATTGTGTAATTCTAATTAAAATATAGAAAACCTTTTAATGAAATTGACTGAAAACTTCTGTTGTATTATGAGTATATATTTGATATGTTGTATTATAGGTATCTTTTTATATTTTTAAAAGAAAGTGTTTCGCTATTTTGCACTTTAAATTGCGATAAATTATCCTTTAAATTATTGATTAACTAACATAAAATTAAAAATTATAATTATTGCTGTATCTAAATAATCTTACAAAATTTCCAAACTTATGGCCTATAAATAAACTCTTCAATATAGTTATAATATATTCAATAACTAATAAACAATCAAACCAGATTTAATTAGAACTTCAAATTATTTATTAATCTAGGTGTAATGTATAATTTAAGGGAAGAGATGCTTTCTTGGAGGACTATATAAGGGAAACTGGTTT